CGCCGGTGGTGCGGGCCTCCAAGGGGGATCCTCGCGCATTGCCATCGGTGGACCAGGCAGACGGGGTCGGTGCAATTCTTCCAGTGGACGCTGCCATGGCGATGGTCGCATGTCGTCTCTGGGTGGATACGGTGCTGATGGCATGTGCGGGCTGTACGCATCTTTTTGCGCAAAGCGTGGGTCAGGGCGATCGAACGAACGCCAAGCGCCTTCGTCCGAGGTGGGCGAGGTGCGTTCTGGGTCGCGGTTAAAAGGCATGGGTGGTGCGCCGGGTTGCGTGTAACGCGAGCTGCCTGGGGCCGCATAGGCCTCGTCGTTGGGATGGCCGAAGGAGCCGGCTTGCGGTGCTGCCATCTCGCGCGGCGGGCGGCCGAGGGAGCCAGAAGGCGGCGTCAAACGACGCTCGGTAGCTGTCGCCGGTCGTCGCTCATCGCGCGCAGCGTCAGCGCTGTGCGGCAGCGCGCGCATTGAACGCGCGTCGTGCGGCTCGCTCCTGGCGTAGTCACCGTCATGTGCGATGCGTGGGAGTGCGCTACGGTTGGGCTCAGGGCCTCGGTTGGGAAACATCGCGGTCGAGGTTCGGCAGATCCGATCAGTTGACGAATGTTCACGCCGAGGGTTACGTGACGAGGCGGTAGATCCGAGCGACGGGTCTGTGATAACGGCTGGCCGCGAGTCTGCCACGAGGTCTAGGATGAAGTTGGGCAATTCGATCGGACGCAGCTATGCGATGTCGCCTTGGAAACAAGAAAGCGCTTGGAGGAAACGTGTCTGGTCGTGGTGAGATGTTGTCGATCGCTGCTCGACAGGCGCAATGGTGACGGAACAATGGTCCGGAAGTGGGAGCAGAACCTATGATAATGAGCAAGAGCGAGGGATGCAGGGAAAGGAGATGATGGTGAGAACTGAAGAGGCTGGCGATAGAGTCTAGTGTAGGGGTCGGCAAGGAGTGTGGCGGCGTGCTACAGTGGCGGTGACGGGATGATTGCAGGGTCGAGTGCAGAGGGTAAGGTGTCAACGGGTTGGAAGCCAAGATTCTTTTGTTTGGCATGGACGAGTCTGGGTGCTAGAGGGGGATTGACGGAGCGAGAACGGGTATGAAGCGAGCAGCGAGCGGATCGGATGCTAAAGATGGAACAGCAGATGTTGTGCGGATCAGGGCGGCAGCGCACACAGCAACCCGGCAGCGGAGAGACAGGAACAACGCACGACCAAGGCCGACCGAAACCTTGGAGACAAACTAAGCGAGACAAGCACAATGCGGGCGGGCCGGAGAGTCAAAGATGCATTGCAGTCGACGACAGGCATGAGCAGCATCACCAGCTTACTCTGTGCCTCGGTGGGTGGAAGCAAGGGGGAAGACACGTATTCCGAGGCAGGGCGAGGCGAAGCGAGGTGAGCCCAAAGGCGAGATGCGGTGCGGCGCGGCGATGCAATGCGGTGCGGTGCGGTGCGAGAGGGCGGCTGCAGCAAAACAGAGCGGGCGTCAAGCCAACGAGAGACAGCAGCAGCATGCATGTGAAGCATCGACAGACAAGGACCCAGACGGATGCGTTCAGGGCCAACGGGCAGCTGCGCGGCCATGAGCGGCGAGATGCAAACGTGTGGCAGGCGACGAATCATGCCGCGCCGGTTGCCAGACCCGAAAGCGCGGTTCTGGTGCAGGCGAGGCGAGGCACGGCAAGGCGAGGCACGGCAAGCGACTACGACTCGGACGGCGCATGTGAACTAGAGTAGAGTGCGGTACGATGCCGGTCCATTACGGCTCGGTGGGCAAAGCGCATCGGCTGCCAAACCTGGGTGCGTTGCGGATCTGCCTCCGCATCCCTCTGGGCGGGCACGCGCTGTAGAAGCGGCCTGCAATTTGCAAATGAGCCATCTTCTTGTGTCCGCGGCTGCACATAGGCGAGCGCCGCCTCACTTCTCTCGCAGCCAAGCTCGGCACCCACAAACACACTCAGCATCGAGCTCCTCTCGAAAAATTCATGGAGCCGGGGCGACGATCTATCCATGAAAGACAGAAATGCGGGGGCGACACTTGCTCCCGAACATCCGTGTCATTGCAGTATTGTACTTGGCGGAGATGAACACACGAGCCGATGGCGTGCTTGCAACAGGTGTCAGGATGTGGTCATGCGCAGGGCCGACGGGAAGCTCAAAGTCCTTGGTTGAGCCGATCATATTCCCGCAGCTGTTGCGCACGCGCCCAACGTGCGCACACACCCTCACCCACCCGAGCCCGAGCGCAAACCCAGAGCCAAATAGTGCAAAGCGAAAAAGGGCTCGAGAAAAAGAAAATACAGGAATAGGAATGAGCTTGGCAGACATGCGAATGCACACCCGTCGGGATCAAAAGGGTCAGGTGGTGAGGCGAGGAAGCAGCAGCCTGCCACGCCGCTCAACAACTGATTTCATGCGCTGGTCTCCTCGCTCTGATGGCTCGGGTGCACCTGCGCTGCTTTGCCGAGTTCTAATTTGGGCGATTTTCAGCTTGTGGACGCGCAGAATCCGACCTGGCGCCTCTGCTAAAAGCCAACCGGCAGCCTCGCTTGACAGGCCGACGCCACCCTTTGCTTGGCTGGCTTGGCTGGCGACAGCTTGCTCTTGCCCCCGCGCTTGGCAACATATCGCATTGGCAGGATGATCGGACTGCGCCAACCCTTTCGCATCGCTGCGAATGATCACCAACAGCTTGTCTTTTGCACACGCACGAGACTTTACGCCTCGAATCGAGATACAGTAAAATCGACTGTACTTGCCGAAAATCCAGCCTAAGCATTTCAAGTCCGACGTGCAGCTTCGGGCGGATCGAATCTGGTTTCCCCGTTGGCCGCGGCGACTGTACGTCGAGCATGCGCGCTGCAAAGCAAGCCAACCGGACGGCTTCCCACACCAGCAAGCACAAGCCCCCCGTCCGAGCTTGGTTTGCGGCGCTTGTCGGCCTAGTCTGCCGAACCGCCTTCCCGAACGGGTTAGCGCCCATCTGAACCCCGGCCCTTGGGCTGCTTCAGAATCATGCTCCGCTTCTCCCCAGCATATTCAAATTCGCGCTCGAGTCTGTTCATTTTCGACGACGCTTTTGGAAGGCTGTGGGACCAGCTCTCACCAGTGCCTCATCTGGCAGTCCAATCTCCATCTTGTGCGGCACCGTGTTTGATTACGAAAAATTTGCAACGAGCTGCGCACAGTTGCAATTGGCTATTTCGAGAATCGGCCTAGTGTCTTCGCAGTTGCGAGGACGGTGTGCTTTCTAAAAGCCAAAGCAAAAGGGGGGGGGGAGGGGGG